CGACTCTCTGAATTATAGAAAAACAACAATTAAGAATTCTTGCTCTATTACATTATACTATAATTATGAAAATGGGTAGGTATCAGGGTGAGAGAAGAAGGATTTAATCAGAATTACACGACCCCATTAACCACAATTTAAAGTCAAACCTGCCTGGGCAATTTTTCTATTTCCTTTGATCTCCAGAACCAGCTTTATTACTCACACTGATAGCTCTACCACAGCCACACTAAGCACTTGGGAGGCAACTTGGTTACAAACCAGATCAAAGTGCTGAATAGACAGATGGACCAAACACCACACATGGAAATAAGCTGACAACAGGGCTTGGTTCTATCTGGGAATTCTCCACTCTTCACGAGGAGGGAACGCCAGATGAGATTACCTTCGCAAGAATGAGTATCTGAGAACTGAAGCTGAACTCTCATTTGCAAGTATATACCCTCCTCTCTCTGCAGATTAAGCTTGCCAATCATGAGATGTAAATTTTTATGATGAAGGAAAGAGGTAAATATGGAGCAATTTTTGGAATATATAAAGGACTTTAAGCTAAATCTGAATTTCTGAAAATATGTTCTCTTTAAGCTCAACTTATGACAGCACAACTCAATGAAATCTCTCCTAAGTTGGGCCAACAAGACAGGCAGCCTCCTATTATCCTCCCAATAACTGCAGCCATTGGAGAGCACTGCTAGGCTGGGGGAGGTGACAGGAAGAGCAGAAAGAAGGTTCCTTGTGTCAGTGACAGTATTAAACACTACAGAGACTAGTCCTAGGAAAAGCAGACACTCAAAAAATGTCTAAAACAAATAAACAAAATCTGTCAAACACCTCCTTGAAATATACCAGTTTAAATAAATCACATTCTTTACTCTTTTCCTGAATTTTAAAGTGCCACTATTGGGCAGAGCAAGGTGGCTCATGCCTATAATCCTAGCACTCTGGAAAGCCGATACGAGTGAATTGCTGGAGGTCAGGACTTTGAGACCAGCCTGAGCAAGAGCAAGACCCCATCTCTAAAAACTAGCCAGGCATTGTACTGGGCGCCTATATTCCCAGCTACTCAGGAGGTTGAGACAAGAGAACTGCTTGAGCCTGGGAGTTGGAGGTTGCCATGAGCTGTGACACCACAGCACTCTACCCAGGGCAACACAATAAGACTGTCTCAAAACAAACAAACAAACAAACAAAGAAAGAAAGAAAGAAAGAAAGAAAGAAAGAAAGAAAGAAAGAAAGAAGGAAAGAAAGGAAGGTAAGATGAAGTGCCACTATCTGGGAAAACTCAGCAAATAAGAATAGCGTGATGGCCCCTGAGGTCACAGTACTCTTCATCCCTGCATTTCAGTCCTGGCTCCTAAAACATACAACGGCCAGTATATGAATAGCACATAGATATATGTAGTTGGCTAGATCTGGTATTTTAAAATGGTTTCTACCACTGCATTTCCACGAAACAATACTTTTCTCATTAAAACAGTGGCTGCAAGGCCATAATCACATTCTCCTTCCCTCTCAACTCTACTTTTGAAGCCCATTCAAGATAAGTAATACTTCTAAAAAAATAACAACAAAATAAAGGTACGACACTAATCCTGTGACTCTTAGGTAAAAGAACCCCTCCTTTGATATTTACCAGCCATCGTTACATCTTCTACACATCTTTAAGAATAATGCTTTCTCATACTCCCCATGGGTATGAAATGATCAAACCCATACGGTTATTGTAGAGGATGTAAAATGGTGTTACACAAGAAGTGTTTCTGCCTCCATTTTCTGCCCATTTGGGAATCCAGTGGAAATTAGTCTTTCCACGAAACACAAAGTGTAATAAAACACCTCTTCCTATCACAACAGGGGAGAGAACAGTAAGACAGCAGGCAGAAAGAACTCAGAAAAAAAAGAAAACAGAATATTATAGCACTCCACTAAAAGAGAAAAGAAACCATTTCCAGTTTTATAAGAAAAAAGCAAAGACATTTTTCCAGAACACACTGAAGGGAAGTAAAAACTCCTAAAATGAGAAGAAAGCATAGCAGTTCCCACACAAAGTAATATAAGTGCCTTAATTTAAAAAAAAAATGTCAACCCAAGGTGAGCCAGCAAAGGGTAAGCCCAATATGAAACTCAGGAAAAAGAATCTAAAGAAAGTTAACGATAAAATAAAAGAGACACAAAGTTTCCAGGTAAATTTGCTGGGTTGGACACACATATTTATCTTTCCCTCTCAACCAATCCATACTAAAATGATAATAAAATTACAAGCCATGAGAACAAGCAGAATGAGTAAGGAGAACACTACAGACAAAATACAAATACGGATTTGAAGATGGGAGATAAGTAGATGAGAGGTCATTGCCTAGGCTGGGTTAAAAAAAAAAAAAAAGGCTTGATGCCTAAATGACCACAGGTATAACCCAATAAGAAATAAGTCGATTCATATATCAGAATCCCCAAAACACTCAAAAATTAGAGACTGAGGTTCAAAGTGGGGCTAAAAACCAAATGACTAGTTGGAGTGGGTTCAAAAGGAGGTCCTTTCCCCTAAAGTCTTCCAGCCAGGTGTGTCCCCCTCCCCAGTCCCAGCAGAGGCTTATTCTCAGAAGAGGCTGAATCAGATAAGTCCACTAGAACTGGAACACTAGAAGTGGATAGCAGGATGAAGACACATACTGGACGAGAAGAGTCACAGGAAAGTCTGCATAGAGAACTGAAAGGCCCTCAGATTCTTCTTGATGGTTTCAAAATAGTGGAAGTTTAGTTTATTTTCCTAAAAAACAGATTGGTAAATCTGCTTTAGGAGAACTACTCAACTGAGAAAAAAGACATTTGAGAGGGTGCCTATGAAATGACCAGGTCTTCACCAGCAGTCCCTAAGCTGAAATCTACCAGCTGACAAAGGGACCAGGCAGAGGGAGCTTCCAGCCAACTTTTCAGTACCTAACTCATTATATGAATTGAGAGCCAACAGTTCTCTCCAACAGACATAACATAAAACCACCAAAATGCTCAACAGGCAAGACAGAGACCAAATAAACGAAAACAAGGAACTCAAAGTAAACTCAGAGATAATTTAGAGAGTATATAAAAGAAAAAAAAAATTTCCCAAAGCCACATTTAGTATCCTCAGAAACATACAAAGTAATATATTATTCAATAAAAAAGAACAGGATGATTTTTTTTTTTTAAAGAACATTCAAAAAATAAGAAAGAGCTTGTAGAAATAATTGTCAGCAAAATAAAAAATGCAATTGATGGGCTAAAAATTAAAGTCTTACAAATACCCACAAAGCAGAAAAAAGATTTTATCTACTAGGGGAAAGATAAGGGTATCAGAAGATCTAGAAGATCAATATAATAGTGCCAATATCCATCTAACAAAAATGTTTTTAAAGAGGATTAAAAGAAAAATAACAAAGCATTTTCTGAAACTGAAATTAATTTCAAAGTTGAAAAGATTCTGCCAATGATGGTTAAAAATTTCTTCACCTGAATAAACTATGTGGTCACTTTTATCTGAGGCAAAAGGAAAAAAGAAGAAAAAAAAAAAAAGAAAGAAAGAAAAGATTCACTGAGTATCAATATAAAAATCTACTCCAGCAATAAAAAGAAAGTCCTAGAAGTTTACACAAAGAAAAAAAAAAAGATAAAAAATAAATTGACAAACAGACTAGGGCTTTCAATAACAACATAGAAACTGAGAAAACAACAAAACCAGGTCTTCAAAATTCTAAGAAAAAATTATTTTGGAATCATATACCCATAAAGAATATTAACCAAGTAATCATTTATGAACAAAACCTTAGTCATATGTGCAAATCTTTCATCACCCTTTCTTAAGGAACTACTGGAGAATATGCTTCAATAAAACAATGAAATAATCAAAGAACAAGAAAGATATGTGACCCAGAGAATAAGTATTTAATGTGCAAAAAAAGAAAGAAAATAAAATTCACAAGAAAATACTGAAAGAAAGTGTTACAATCGTAGGCTTAAAGACGAAGCAATCTAGATTAATTCAGGACTATGGAGAATTTTAAGGGCAATCATTGGGGGAGGGGAACTGATAGATTATCTGATTCTGATTTGTTTTAGAGGAGTTTTATAGTTTTGCCACATAGTTCTAGGTTTCAATCTGTGATTAAAATTATATTAATTACAGTCATCATGGACGAATGAAGAGAAAGCAATCATAACTAGGAAAATTTTTAAATTGCACAAGGAAGGAAATTTCATCATAGTACTCTATGTGGCTTCACTATAAAAGTACTTACATTATCATACAATTATAAATATTTAAGCCAAAAAGTAGAAAAAATGTATTTAGGAATAGACAAGTAACACAGAAAATTCTCTACTGAAATATTCCTTTGTACACAGCAAACCACTAGTTACATCTGAAGTCCATGTCCCTCCACACTTATTTCTGAACGTTCTCTTTCCTCTGGCCCTGGTGACTCTGCCCTGCAGAGTTCTACTCCAACATTCCCTATTGGGCACCAGGCATTGTTCTGGAAAAGTACTTCAACTTGTCATTTGGAAACAGTCACAGTTGGAAAATTAGCCAACTACTCTCCCCTTGTCCTACTTGTATTATTGTAGGAATAATACAAGTGAACAAATTTTGGCATTTATTCTAATATGAAATTTTTTGTGAATTTACATATTTCAAAACCATGTGCATAGTAAAGTTCAATAACCTCTTCAAGGGTCTGAATAAAAGGATCTTTAAGTTCCTCTAATGAGAAACAGTTAAAAAACACGATTTTTCCAAAAATAAGTTGAATCATTTCATTCATTTGCTTACTAGGTGCTTATGAATAAGGAGTCCATATCTACTTTTCTTGCTCTCTCTCTCTTCTAAAACCTTAAACCACCCTGGGAGAGAATGCATAATAACGCACTGATAAAGACACTTGCTGCCTTCCAGCTCAGCACGTTATTATTATAAAAGAGGGATATTCCTTCTGTTCGCCCATGATAAACAAGAAGACTGAACTTACCGAGCTGGGGCTGGAGTGCCGCCTAACTTTAGGGGACTCTTTGCCAGCAGATGAGGTCTTAAAGTTAATACAAGCATTGTTCTCAGAATGCACCCTCTTTACTTGGTTAGTTGGCTTCTCAAATGGGTCAAAAGTGCTCTGTGTCCTCTGAACTCTGACTTTTTTATCCTCAGGAATTGTGTCCAAGGGTTTGATCACTGAGTCCATTCCCTGGCAGTTCCGTGTAGACATCTTTGTGACACATATCTGAAAAAGAAAAAAAAAGAAATTAAATTCGGAACTCTCCACTAAAACTTTAATATCACTAAACATGCTGACATATTTCTCTAGAAAACGTACCAATTTCAATTTCAGAAAGCCCCCAAATCCCACATTCTGAAAGCTAAATCAGTTTAAATCACAGTACAAAAAAATTCCTCCTAATCATTCTGCTTGTACGTGCTTAGAGCTCACACTAAAAAGTCTACTCCTAAAATAGGAGACTTCAGTCCTAGAGTGCTCGTATACAGGTTCGTGACCTGTGTCACATGTTACACCATCTGATTGCCAGTGGGCTATTTCTGATTCATTAAGAGGTTGGGTAACTTGCCTTAATGTTAAAGGAAACAAAACAAAACACACAAAAAAAAATAAAAAACAGTAGGGCTGAATCAGATGGGCACTTCAACTGGTCATCATGGAAGCAGCAAACACAGCTATAGAAGAAAAGGCATTATGTTGTTTAGAAGTTTTACACGGAAATATGTATGTTTAAAATCTGTCCGCATCTTGATTTTATCTCCAGATTGGAATGGAGCTAAGGTTAGAGATACTGAAGAACTAAGGACGATAGTGGTGATTTTTTAATTCCAAAGCTACTGGATAAAGAGGAATAGTACAGCAAAAGAAAAACACCGAAAAACACTCATTTCAAAATTTTCTTAACATCGCTCCACTAGACCTCCACTTCCTGCCCCTCCCTTCCCTTCTTCACTCATTTTCTTTCTGCAGGGCCTGCCCCACTCTCATTTATTTTAGTCTCTGCCTTTTGCTCCTTGTTTACTCCTTTATATTCTAACCCTTGCTCGCATTCTCCCTGTGCTCTAGAGAGAATATCCTTTGTTGTCCTTATTGAATAACTTTATGGCCTCTAGCTTGTCTGTAATACAAGGTAACTTTATTATTCTCTGTAAAGAAAAAGATAACTCTAAATAAAACTCTTTTCAGAATTTATTCTTATATAAAGTCTCCACAATCCTATACGCTATCAAAAAGCAGAAAAACAGAAGATGTTTATGAAAAAGCCTACATTATTATCGTAAATATATAAAGTTTTTGAGTACATATTTTTGATCTGTCATGGGCTGAATCTGTGGATGCAGAACCCACAAGACATGGAGAGCTCTGCAACCCTGTAATACTCACAGAATAATACCACATGGGGAATAAATACACCTGCACATATGGACAGAAATCAGTAGATATAGATATACACCCAGACACAGATATACATACAGGTATCTGCATTTGTGGATATGAGCCAGTGAAAAGCATAGAAGGAAACGCCATAAACTGTTAACTTCAGATACCTCCAGACATGTGGAAATGAATGAGTAAAGGGTGAGATTCACAATTTTTTGCGCACTCTATATTATGTGAATTAGATAATAAATATGCTGACTTGTGCAATTATTTTTAAAGCCACTGAAGTGGGAAATATATATAATCAAACTAAGCTCTCTCAAGTTTTTGAAACAAAAAAGCTTTTAATTAAATATTAAGCATACACTCTGTTCCAAGAGTGTGTCTCAATTACTAAGCACAGGCTGAATTCTAATTAAATCAAATAGGAAGAATATTATCCTCCATTTTAGCACACCACAAAATTACTAAAGATAATTTTTATGGCCTCAAGGCAGAATCCTCTACTTGTGATCAAAAAGGAACAATTTAGCATGAGCAGGTTAGATGCACACAATAGCACAATATTTTTAAGGGTTTTTCTGTTTTTTTCTTTTTCTTTTTTCTTTCTTTCTTTTTTTCTTTTTCAAAAAGACAGGGCCTACCTCTGTTACCCAGGCTAGAATGGAGTGATACAATCATAGTTCAATGCAGCCTCAAATTCCTGGGCTCAAACAGTCTTCCCACCTCAGCCTCCCAAGTAGCTGAAAGTACAAGGATGCACCACCATGCTCAGCTAGATTTTGTTTTTGTTGTTTTTTTTTGTAGAGATAAGGGTCTTACTATGTTGTTCAGGTTGATCCCAAACTCCTGGCCTCAAACAATCCTCCTGCCTTGGTCTCCCAAAGTGCTGAGATAACACACTTGAGTCACCACATCAGCTCTGCATTCTTCTTAGGATATAAAAGAAGTAGAAAAGAAATCACCCACATCATAAGGGAATTAAATTATAAACACAAGGGCCCCAGAAGTAAGCAAGCCCCAAGCACCAAAAATTTGAAGAAAAATACTTAAGGGCACATGAAAATCAAATTGCTTAAAACCAACAGAGAAAAAAACTAAAAACTGAAATACTTGATAACCAAATAATACAGAAAGGCAATTACAAAGCATCTTGAACTAAATTAAAATAATATTAATAATATACAATATGAAAGTGGTGAGATACAGCTAAGGTAGTACTTTAGTCGCAAGAAAATTTATAATACTAATTGCACACAGAAAAGAAGAAAAGTCTCAGCTTCCACCTTAAAATACTAAAAAAGAAGAGCAAACAAAACCTAAAAAGAGACTAAAAGACTAAAATAATAAATAAATATCAGAGTGGAAATAAAAAAAAAATAAAGAAAACCAATAAAACTAAATGTTAGTTTTCAGAAGCTATTAAAAGGAAAGAGAGCCCTAGCCAGACTGATAAGGAAAAAAAATCTGAAAATAAACACTGCCAATGGGAATGGGAGCACTGACATTACTATATGTTTCCTACAAATTTTAGGAACAAAGTTATTCCAATAAATTCAACCAATTAGATGAAACAATCAAATTCCTTGAAAAAAAAAAATTCACTCATCCAAGCTTACTCAAGAAGAAATAAATGAGCTGAATAGGCCTGTATCTATTAAAGAAACTGAGTTTGTGGTCACAAACCTTACCACAAATACAATGCCAGAGCCAGATGGCACCACTGGTGGAAGTAAACCAAACATTTAAGGAAGAAATAGCATGAATTCTACAGAAACATCTCTAAAATATTGATGATGAGGAAATACTCCCCAACAGAATCTATGAAGCCGGCATCATTCCAACACAAAAACCACACAAAAAACATTACAAAGAAATTTCATGTTTTCTCTCAAAGAAATAGATGCCAAAAATTATTTGAATTTTTAATTTTTATTGAATTTTTAAGTTGAATTCAGTAATATGCAAAAAAGATAATAAATTGTGACAATGTATAAGGTGACCAGATTTTAACATTGGTAAAGTGGGACACAATTGATGGGGGGCGGGGCGGGGGCAGGGCAGAGCAGGGCCTGACAACAATGCAAACTTTGATAAGCAGTTCTTGATAATCACTTCTCAACAATTATTTGTTGTTATTACAGTTTAACATTATAAAATTAACAAAAGTAATATAAAACTCATATCCTGGCAAAACAGCCACATGGCAGCCAAAAACCATATATTCCCTTATTGTTCTCCCACCTGTTCATGCATTCTTTCCAAAAATCGAGACTTTTTTAAAATGCTTCAGGACACAGGACAAATTGTTAAAAATCGGGACTGTCCCGCCAAAAGCGGGATGTCTGGTCACCCTAACAATGTAGTATTTATCCCCAAAATGCAAGGTTGGCTTAACATCCACAAATGTGTAATTCACCACTTTAATAGATACACAATTGTGTTTCCCAGTGAAACCCCTTCTTGGTATTCACCCTCTCGAGTGTGGGCTGCATGTGCTGACTTGTTCCAATAACAAGAATATGGCAGAAATCATGGGATATCACTTCTGAGAAAAAAATTAAAAGACTGTTGCTCCTATAGTGGTGCTCTGTCCCTCACGACTGCTCTTTCCTAGATCACTAGCCATGGGAAAAGCCAGCTGCCCCCTTGTGAGGCCTCCCATATGTAGAGAGGCACATGTGTAGAAGGACTAAGCCCTGCAGACAGCCAGGAGCCAGGCCTTCACGGCCAACAAGAGCAAGACCCAGCCTACAGCTTGAGACCCCAGCATCTGATTAGAAAGCCACAGAATTTGTAAGAGAAAATGTAGTTTCTTGTTTTAAAATGTTAAGTTATGGGGTAATTTGTCACGCAGCAATAGATACACACAGATTTTTTTTTTAATCATATGAGCATCTCAATAGATTCAGAAAAAGCATTTGACAAATTCCATTCATGATTTAAAACTCTCAATAAACTAAAAACAGAACAAAACTTCTCAACTTGATAAAGGGCATTTAAAAAAAATTTGACAGTCAACATCATATTTACTTTTTTTTTTTTTTTTTTGCAGATTTTTGGCCAAGGCTGGGTTTGAACCCACCACCTCTGGCATATGGAGCTGGCACCCTACTCCTTTAAGCCACAGGTGCCACCCTCAACATCATATTTAATAAAAACAGGAGTAAGTCAAGGATGTCACTTTCACCACTTTGAGTCAGCATTGTAAGTTCTACACAATGCAATAAAGCAAGAAAAATAAAGTCATCCGCATGAAAAGAACAGATTCTATTCACAGAATACATGGCCATCGATGCACAAATCAAATGAAATCTAGTTTTTTTTTTAAAGCCACTGGAATTATGATTTCTTTTATCAACAGTGCAAGATACCAGAACAATATACAAAAATCATTTGTGTTTCTAAATGCTAGCAACAATCAGAAATATGAATTTTTAAAAACACTACCTAGAATATCAAACAATATAAAATGTTTAGTAATAAATACAACAAAATGTGTATAAGAACTGTACACAGAAAACTATAAAACATGCTGAGAGAATCTAAAACTAAGAGGGGGCACAAAAGAGAAGGATTCATGAGTCTTAAAATCGACTGTGACATGCACAGGAAGAAACTAATCTCTGTGTTTCGGCCATAAAATAGTAGTTGTTTCTTATTTAACTTAAAAAGATATATATATATATATATATACACACACATATGTAGATCAAGCAAGGTAATAAATGTATATAAAATGATAAAAGTAGACGTTTATTTGATGTATGAATAAGAGGAAAATGGTAGCTCTTTAGGACTCTGACCTCATCCGTGCAAAGTCAGCACCAAGGCACATAAACCTC